AGAGTCGTTCTAAAGATCTCACTTAATTCAAGAGTGCCAGAGTAACGATTTAGGAATCACAGCAACTCAGGTATGAAGTATACAAAGCGGTGTTGCCGAGGTGAGGTGATGGTGTGTAAAAGTCACCAAGACCCAACATCTGCAGAACCCCGCTGGCTTTAACGTCAGCAGGAGCGTCATGGCAGTGGTTTCTGAGCAGCTCCTGTAGGTGTGTTGTGCATGTGGTCCTATACTTTGTCCATGTAGCATACATAACCACAGTGTAACCAACTCTTCTATGAAAGACTTAACAGAAGTGAAAATGATCAGCTTTGAAAAGGTAAAATTTATTGCAGGGGGTTGCACTGGTTCCTGTAACATTGTACAGATGTTAATGTTATTGCATCCATTTTTAAACCCACAAATCAATTCATGATCACACAAGTTTACAATAAAACCAGATCTTCTCATGTCCCCCATGCCCCCAAAATTAACTTGGGTTTAGACTTTCTTTTGCATTTTTTACATTACTTTTTTTTTTTTTTTTAAACATCATTAAAAAGTAATTAAACATGAGAGGAACATGAAAAACACGGTAAATTACAAATTGAGACATTTTAGAAGAGCCATGTGCCCAACTGCGGTCACATATCAGGAAGTTAATTTTGTTAGTAGGAAAGTTATCAGCACAGCAGGTTTTGGCTTGAGGGAAACAACACAGCACCTAAAATAGCCCGCTTATCTTCACAGAAAAGATCATTTTTGATTAAACAAAATATCACATGTTCAATTGCTGGTTTGCATATTCATCTGAGCCACTGTGGAGTGCAATGGCGCCTGTTTTAGAGACATTAACCACAACGCACATGGGCACGCTATGTGCTGCTGCAATATAGATAAATGAACAATAGGTTCTGTTGCAACATAAAATCTGCCGATCCACAGAGAAAGCGATAAACAGTTTAGACTGAGTTAAAAAAAATAAAAATAAAAAAGCTGAAAAAAAAGTGCAAATGACTGATATAAACAGATGTCAGAAAGTCCACCACAGCCTCGCTTCCAGGTAACCCCCCCGAGTAGTATCATGATGCCACTTCTTGGGTCGACTTCAATCTGTGACATCACCACAGTATCTTCATTTAATCAGGGAGCTTTTTATTGGTTACTCCTCAGCTTTGGGTTCTGGTGGCGCTGATGCAGAGCTCGCCTTGGCTGTCGCTCCTTTGTTTTCACTGGCCTTCTCTTTTGCATCCTGACTGTCGATCTTGGCGTGCTCCTTCTTCACCAGCTCTTCCAGCTCTGCCTGGAGAGACGTAACAAACAAGAGCTTTAATGCAGCTGAGGCACTGAGATATGGAGCCCAAAGTGGTGGCAACAAGAAAAGCTACAAGACAAACAGCTCAAGCTTTTTTTGTTTTGTACTGCGACACCTCTTCCATCAGGAAAACCACAACTTCACAACGATCTACGATAGGCTACCTTGACACTAGGATGTTTTTGCTGCTCAAAAACAAACAAAATAAATAAGAGCAGTTAAAAATCTTTAGACGCATTGACGATTTTGTTTAGGAAAAAACCAAAATAATCAACACGTTGTGGGCTGCATAATCGCACAAAAAAATCTAAAGTTCAAAATTTAAATCCGATCAGCTCAGTAATGTTTATGGCCTCCACAGGCATGTACACAACATTCTAAAGGCCTCATGAGATGGTGAATGACATCCAACAGGGTCTCCCTGCTGCTGTTTGGCTGCTTCAGATGCACCGATATAGGATGTCCCAAAGATTCTCAGTTGGATTCAGTTTTGGGGCATGTGAGGACCAGTTAATGCCATCAATGCCAGCATCATCTAGGAACAGCCTATGCACTCTGGCCACATGAGCACGGCTACTGTCCTACACCAGGAGGAACACAGGATCTTCGCTGGCATAATGAAACATTCATCTCAGTACCTAACAGTGCTAAGCACTGTTGGCTAACACTGTCTATGGATATGCCTCCACAGAACATCATTGATCCTCTGCCAAGCTGGTCATATCACATATCATTCACCACAACGTCTCCAGACTCTTTCATGCCTGTCACATGTGATCCGTCTGATCCTGCTCTCATCTGCAAGGAAAATGGGTCACCACTAATATAAGACATCCCAGAGGTTCTCAACTGGCAGGTCTGGAGCGACAGACCCACCACTTCCTCTCTTGCAAAGGTTAATCGAGCTGCATGGTGCTGCACTATCAGCAAAGGTCCCACTGAAGGACATGAGGCCCTCGTGCTACCTTTATGTAGTCTGATTCTGACAGTTGTGTTAAATATGTATGAGTACGCGCTCTTGTTCCTCCTCCCACAAAGAAGCAGACACTGACCCTCCTGCTAGGCTGGCTTCTACTGCTTCTACTGCCCTGTGCTGCGAGGCACAGCAAACATCTGTGTGACAGCACTTATGGCTGTGCCTATGAGCTGGACTATCTGTACAATCTGCACTGACTGCAGGCACTGTGTCGTCCTAACAGCCGTGACAAGGACACTAGCAAAATGCAGAACTAGATTAAAAAAGGTTAGCAGCCAAAAAAAGAAAAGGAAGGGGGGAAAGAAAAGGTGAAATGGTCCACACGCAAAAATATTTTTTAGTGGTTGTCACCTCTACAATACAACTGTTGTCACTCTCATTTGCACCAAAGCAGGTGAAATGGACTCACAGTGGTTTCTGCTTCCCAACCAGACAGACTGATACCCTGAAGTTAAAATGACTTTATGTTATATTTTGATGATCAAGTGTTCCCATCACTTTCTGAGCAGTGTTTACTTGTTTTAACCTTACACGTGATAGGCCTAAAAACATAGCAAAAACATAACATAGGACAGCATCCTTGAAAGGGGACATGTAACTTACCTTCCATCCCAGAAGATCAGCTAGAGCCAAACATCCATCATCACAAGTACTAATGTGAGCTACATCTCTGGAGAGAGAGGCAAATAAATAGCAACGTGTTAGTGCAAAACAACTTTTTATTTCACTGACAACACCAGCGCCGCTTATCTTTTACACCATAAACTGAGCTGCAAATAAGGCAGCAATGGACACCTTACTGAAGAAAGCAGTTTAAAAATAACCATCATTTTAATTAATTTGCTTCTTGTTTTTTTTGGCACAAGATGCTAATAAATTAAACTCCCTGCTTCCACTAGAGCTTTCTTGGTCATTTAAAGCAGCGGTCCCCAACCCCCGGGCCGGTACCAGTCTGTGAGGCGTTTGGTACCGGGCCGCAAGATTTGAGGCTCGGGTGTGAAATTTATGGTTTCAGGGTTTTTATTGTTAATCTGGTTTCCCTAGGTCTTTTCCCATGTTGTAGTTGTGCGTCTTATTTTGAAAGAAATATTTACATGTTACCATAGCGACCAGAAAGCATTAAGGGGCAGAGAGAAGGCTGTTAATCTCATGTTGTTGGCGGATTTTAGGAGGACGCTGCTAATAAAGTTACACAATTACACAGTGAATACGCGTTTATTATTATATTTACAAAATATCACAGTTTGTCTTGGTCGTGTCATCTTATTTTGTGTATTTATCCGCAAAACCGTAGAGGCCGATCCGTGAAATTATTGTCTGACATTAAACCGGTCTGTGGCGCAAAAAAAGTTGGGGACCGCTGATTTAAAGGGAATCTGATTTCGATGACTTTTCAGTTTTATAGAAACTTTTTAGCAAGTCAGATACTGAGCAACGTAGTTATAAATTAGTTCAATTATTAATGTAGTGAGTAGTATGAAAAAAATGTAGTATATTCAAAGTATCTACCAATTCCATTTGGGACAGATAGATAAGTCTTTGGTGCCCTCTGGTTGTAAAATGGTGGCCTGCGTGATGTGTGTTCATTACTCTGTGCATCAGTCTGAACTTACAGCATACATTTCAGATAAAAATAACTAAATCATAAAACAAAAAACCTTTTTCTGAGTATCTGTTAAACTGTATTTGACACATATATTGTGCAGCTTAATGTAAAGGTACAGCTACAGTACACTGCACTCATTAAGATCTTTTGTTTATATTGGTTTGTAGTAAACAGGCAAATGCAGAGTAAAGCTATGGAGAGGAGTAGCTGTGTCTCATTATCACCTGTAAGCCTTGTCTGAGTCAAAGTCCATCCCTTCTCCGAAACCAAACAAACTCATCATGGGGTTAACCTGCACAGAGACGCACATCAACACAAGCCTGCGCAAAGAATCCAAGAAAGAAGGAAAAGGAAGTGGTGAGTGCTTACCTGCCCTGATTTCTCCATGTTAATGAGCAGTCTGGGGCAACTTTTTGAAACCCTAAATGAAAAAGAAACACACAAAATAAAGTTTTCACTAGATCTACATGAAATTATAAAATGTGGTTGAGTGCAAACGCTCTCAAACAAATTCTCCTGCAGGTCTGTGGTCTACTACCAGACGATTACTGTAGCGGTCTCTGTGCTCAGACAGGTATGTGAAAGTTGAGCTGCAGTACCTGCTGACTAGACTCGCAAATGGTTGAACCTGAAGGGATGTCCCCATAACGATGAGAAGGTCGCAACGAGGAAAATCCTGAAAGGTTTAACAAAAAAAAAAACAAAAAAAAACCAAAACAACGTTTACTGTTACTAAGTAGCTGCATCACATTTCCTCAAAATATGCCAGAATGTTCACAAGCTGCTGGTGTACACTCACCATCTTCATTGAAGTGAAGAATCGGGCAGGTAGGTTCTCTCCAAAGAAGACAATATCTGTGCAAGAAAAAGCAGAAGAGAGAGACTTTCTAAAAGTCATGGTTGAAACTCAACATTACTAACATTTAAACAAATGAACATCTACTGACCTGGTTTAACCAAACTGCTGCACTTGTCACATTTGGGAATGTCGTCAGAAAA